GCTCGAAAAAATTAAAGGAAAAAAAAACAACAAAAAAAAAACATGCAGAATATCTTTTGTGATATGGACTGGGTAATGTGTTAGGAATGAAAGGATGCCACATCGTTTGATGGAAATTAAAATTATCACCCTACAGAGGGTTGAATTCAAAGACACAAAAAATGATGCAGCAGGCTAATCCATTTAGCCAAAATTCCATTGCAGCAGCTCAAAATGGTACTCAGTAGTTTGTATGGCCTCCACGTGCTTGTATGCATGCCTGACAACATCAGGGCATGCTCCTAATGAGACGACGGATGGTGTCCTGGGGGATCTCCTCCCAGATCTGGACCAGGGCATCACTGAGCTCCTGGACAGTCTGCAGGGCAACCTGGCGGCGTCGGATGGACCGAAAGATAATGTCCCAGGGGTGTTCTACTGGATTTAGGTTAGGCGAGCGGGGGGGCCAGTCAATGGTATCAATTCCTTCATCCTCCAAGAACTGCCTGCATACTCTCGCCACATGAGGCTGGGCATTGTCCTGCACCAGAAGGAGCCCAGGACCCAGTGCACCAGCGTAGTGTCTGACAATGGGTCCAAGGATTTCATCCTGATACCTAATAGCAGTCAGGGTGCCGTTGTCTAGCCTGTAGAGGTCTGTGTGTCCTTCCAGGGATATGCCTCTCCAGACCATCACTGACCCACCACCAAACCGGTCATGCTGAATGATGTTGCAGGTGGCATAACATTCTCCATGGCGTCTTCAGACCCTGTCATGTCTGTCACTTGTGCTCAGGTAAAACCTGCTCTCATCTGTGAAAAGCACAGGGCGCCAGTGGCAGACGTGCCAATTCCAGTGTTCTAAGGCAAATGTCAATCGTGTTCTATGGTGCTGGGCAGTGAGCACAGGGCCCATTATAGGACATTGGGCCCTCAGGCCACCCTCATGAAGCCTGTTTCTGATCGTTTGGTCAGACACATTCACACCAGTGGCCTGCTGGAGTTAATTTTGTAGGGCTCTGGCAGTGCTCTTCCTGTTCCTCCTTGCACAAAGGAGCAGACATCGGTCCTGCTGAGGGGTTAAGGACCTTCTATGGCCTTGTCCAGCTCTCCTAGAGTAACTGCCTGTCTCCTGGAATCTCCTCCATACTCTTAAGACTGTGCTGGGAGACACAGCAAACCTTCTGGCAATGGCACGTATTGATGTGCCATCCTGCAGGAGTTGGACTAGCTGTGCAACCTCTGTAGGGTCCAGGTACCGCACCATGGTACTAGTAGTGATGCTGACCCAAGCCAACTGCAAAACTAGTGAAAAATCAGTCAGAAAAGATGAGGAGGGACAAAATGTTAATGGCCTCCACCTATTAAACCATTCCTGTTTTGGGGGTCGTCTCACTGTTGCTCCTCTAGTGCACCTGTTGTTAATTTCATTAACACCAAAGCAGCTGAAACTGATTAACAACTCCCCCTGCTACTTAACTGACCAGATCAATATCCCAGAAGTTGAATTGAGTTGATGCTATACTCTGATTAAAAAGTGTTCCTGTAATTTCTTTGAGCAGTGTATGATGATTTTCAGTGTGAACAGCTGTTCAAAGCTGCATTTGCTGGTTATGTTACGTTTTTGATCCAAAAATGAGCTAAAATTGTCACTACCAAAACAGTCACTACTGAAACATTATGTAAAGTTTGAGTAGTGTTGTGATTGTTTTGGTAGTGACAAATTGAATGTTCAATCATTAGTTTTATTTTATTTTGATTTTTTATTGTTACAATATATGATTGTTCTTCATTCTATGCCAGGTCCTACAATTAAAATAAAAAAAAATAAATAAGGAACACGTTTTTGGTAATGTTGGTTGGGGCTGTGTTGCAGGTGTTGGATGCAGTGGAGAACATGAGCAGCCATGTTTTGTGTGTGATGCAGAACAATGACAGCTTCTCAGCAACAAAACTGCAGCGTTTTCAAACCCAACTTGGAAACATCATACAATCAACATTGAGCCTATTAGCTGAAGTGGTGAGCAACATGCTAACAAACTGATCAACAACCAGTGTACGTTTTTCCTGTGAAGGAGAATGGGTTCATTGCTGTCTCTTATTGTAATCTCCTTCAGAGCAATGTGACTGGTGCTGAGACTGCAGCAGCTTTCAGTTCTCTGGAGGATCTCAGTAAATGGAACATAAACAATTTGAGGTTTGTTGAGTCATGGGCATTTCTGAAGCTGCTGCCTTGGCTCCCATATGTGACTGAAGAATTTCTGACCAGACTGAGCCAAATTAACTTCACCTGTGAAGCCTACCACATCATGTATGTACTTTTAAAATTATACATCTTACATTTTTCAGTATATGTTATAGGAGAGTGATATCAACTGCAGTTTCTTCCTGCACAGTTTTTATCAGAAATGAAACAATGAGTGTGATGGAAACAAATAACATGCTTGGTTTTTTTTTTTTAAATAGATATAATGGACATATGTCCCCCATTATGTTGCAAACATAGCACATATTGTAATCAGACCATCTACTGTGTGGACAAGATAGGCTTGCACTCATACAGATTAACAGATGCCAATAAACACCAGGTTTCTATGGTAAAACGTGCATGTTAATGAATACTGATGGTTCATAAATTCACCGTGAACACATAGTTCTTTACAGGTAACATATCCTTACCAAAATCCCCACCCATGAATTACAAATGAGCACCATATAAGAAATTCATCAGACTCACTAAGATAACCAAGTAGTAAGCCTGAAACTGCCTGCACAAAATAAGTTAAAGAAAAGAAATCAGATGATTGCAAAAAGATGTTTTAGCTTAAAATGTAGGTCAAACTGACTGCATAAAAATGATATTTTATTGAATGTTTTAAAATAAGTTAACTGAATATAACACAGGTTATTGTTCTAATAACTTACTATTCAACGTTCAAAATTCAGACGTTTCAGGCAGCCCAGTACCTTACTTTTTCTAGATTAAACATAATATGATCTGCCAAAAATTGCCTGGAAAAGTGTGTGAATTTAATTGTGCTAATCAGGCTTTAAGGATGTTACTTATTGGGTAATACCGCTACCCTCCACGCAGTAGACTGGGTTAGGGTTAGGGTTAGGGTTAGAAACATTGAAACATTTTAGGGTTAGCATGAGCTATGGCTTCGCGCAGTTGTTTGTCAAATGTTTTTATGAAATCAGAACCATTTTCATGATTATTATAGTATGGGAGGTTTTAGTGTTTTCGGTAACACTTTCTATGAATGTCACCTTTGTAAGCATCTATAAACACAACATAACTTGTTATAATGCATTCATAAGACATTATAAACATAGCTATAAATATTTATAAAAAAGCATTATACGTTATAGCTATGTTTATTATGCATTATGAATTGTTAACATAATACATTATAAGTACTGATCATAATAAATTATAAGAGCTCATAAGTCGTATTTGTCCTCTCTAAGTAAAGTGAAGCGTACTATACTAAAGCCTCCTCCAGTGTTAAGAGTGAGGCTTCAAGTTGAAGTATTTACTGAAGGATTTACTGAAACAGTAAAACATACACAATAAAGCACATTACAGGCTTCAAATGTCAGATTTTAAACTAGTGCTGCCATCAGTGTTTTACCCAATGTGGGAAAGGTAATGTACACCACCGTTAGCTTGGTATTTGTCTTTACACTCTCCAAGCTGGGACTGACTTCTTTGGCACTGACATTATAACATGTTATTAACACTATTTATAATGCATTATATTAACAATTCGTAATGTATAATAAACATGGCTATAAAGTGTAATTCTTTTTAATAAATATTTATAACCATGTTTATAATGCATAATGCATATAAATGTGCTTATAGATGCTTACAAATGCAACATTCATAGAAAGTGTTACCGTATTTTCTTCTAAAGACAAAAAGGATCATAATACTGAAATAGTTTTGGCATCTAAATATGTAGAAAATATTGATGTTTCTGTTTGTTAAAAATTTAAGAAAAACTTTGATATTATGCACTTAGTTAGTAAATATGTTGGTAATTTGTTTAATACCAGACTGAAAAACACAAAAAATGAATATCAATGTATCTTTGCTAAGAATGCACTAAACACAATGTGCATGTCTAAATCTGTGGTTGTCATTTGAATGTCTCTGGATACATTATTCTTGCCAAAAATTAAATGAAAAAAGGATTTGAAAAAATAGATTAAATTAATTGGTTTGAATATCAATGAAGTATTCTGCTTAACAGTACGTAGTACTATGTGTTTGGAAAAAAAAATTGATTTTGAAAGATAAAAATAAATTTCAGCTGAAGGTAATGAGAAGTTCTAAAGGATTTGAACTGCCCTGAGTCCTGTCATTCAAAGTTAAGTCTATATTAGTTTATGGAGGGTTGGGTTAAATATGAGAACAGCCATTTGTGGCATTTTAATGAGCACTTTATCAATTAAACATAGTCCAGCAAAAGGTTATAGTATTTACTGACAAAAGCAGGGGGAGTTTAGTAGTGGGCTGATAGCAGTTTTCTACAAGACTAATCAATGTCTTTCTTTTAAATACCAGTATAAGGACTATGTGCTCACAAACTGATATAACTGAAGAGAAAAACCAAATGATCTACAACAACTTCATCTATGCTTACCTGACCAGAAAAGACACACCAGGTATGGAGACAGACATGAACTTAAAAACAAAAATTATAAAATGGAAAAAAAGAACAAGACTAGGTAAAATACAGGATAGCTAGGATCAGCAAATGTCAGGCAGATAATCAAATAACTTTTTCTTTGCTGTCAGATCCAGGGTGTGTTTTAAACATCAAAGACATCAAAGAATGGTTGGAGAAGAACTTTGGAATATTCTTTGAAAAGAATAAGCAGGTACACATACTGCAAAATTACCATTAAAAATAAAAAAGCAAAGAAAAATCAAGTGTGATACAAAAATAATGACATGATTGATTTTTTTATTACAACATCAAAAAAAAAGGATGAAGAACTGAGACTCCTAAATCCGACCCAAATAATTGATCTCACCGTACGTTCTGGAGCACTGAACAACACAGATTTGATCAACAGAGTTTTTGAGCGTCTGAATCAAGGCGATGCTATGCAGAATGTTGAGGAGTTCTTGGTGGCTCTGGCCAACAGCTCAGGGGTAACAACAAATACTTCACACACGATATACTGTCAAAATAGAAACAGTGTAACATTTGTCTACATGAAAACCCTGTAAGAAAAGTAGCTGTGAAAACTGGATGGACGGAGAGTGATTGACTTTTTTTCCCCTCACCTTTCTCCAAGGCCCCAGAAATCAATCCTGTGGTGAGGGACATCATGATGAATCGGACATTCAGCGTCATCAGTGCTCATTTCCCAGGCTTTTCCAGAGCTGAGTGGAGCGACTGGTTCCAGTGGAAACTTGTCCCGCTGCTCCCCAGTCTGACTGCAGAGATGCTAACAATCGCAACAGCAGAGGTGGACTGCGACGTTTACCAAGTGATGTGAGTGGATGCCTTTTCTTGGCAGGAGACCTTTTTCCATTTGATGCAGTTGTTTTATGAATGTGACAATTGGGTCTCCGTGTCATTTTTTTGAAATTTTCCAAACCAAACAGTGTTTGAGCGAAATTTTGCTAACATGTGTTTCACTTTTGCGTAACAGTGTCGAAGGGCTGGACCTGGTGTTTGAGCGAACCACTTTGATCAGGAAGCAGGAGATCACAGGTGTTCTGGTAGAGTACCTGAAGGGTTCTGGACAAGTCAACGGCTCAGGTAAGTTCCTTCACGCACCAATTCCTTGCCGCACGTGCTGTCATATCTTGATGTGC